CCGGAACGGCCCGTACTGATTTCGGAACGGCCCGTTCCGGATCCTTCAAACGTGGGCAAATTTCTCAACTGGAACGGCCCGTTCCAAAATCGGAACGCCCGTTCCCAAAAAGCAGAACGGCCCGTTCTGAAACCAGAACGGCCCGTTCTCAATCTCAGCAGAACGCCCCGTACTGCTTCCAGAACGGCCCGTTCTCCATACCAGAACGGCCCGTTCCAGGCCCGTTCTGGGTCTTCAAAAACAAGCATATTCCTTCTTTTGGAACGGCCCGTTCTGCATTTGGAACGGCCCGTTCCGACACCCAGAAATACCCTTATTCCTTTATTAAAATTACGAAAATGCCATCAATAATTACGAAAATGCCATTACTAATAAGAATATCCTTTTAAGGAAATTGGGGTGTTACAAAGAATAAACTAGAAAAATAGACAAATGTGATTGAAAAAAAATGTTGATGATGAGTATTTATTTAATTATGGCGTCTCAAGAACTCAATCCACATAAATTCAATACTTGACTCATTGACAATAACTATACCATCCACATGATCAAATGTCTATCATTTTTTACCTCTATTTACAAGTCAATCAAACTGAACGTTAACATGAAAAACATTGAAATTGTCTAAGCCAAAGGAAAAAGAATAATTTATATATCAATCAAGAAAGGTATGGTAATTGTCAAAGATATTCTTTACATTCTAAAATGGATTGGATATGGTCTCTTTCAAAAAAAAAATTATTTTTTTTTATCACCAAATAACATTGATTAAAAATTGTAAAGATTAAGATGATCAAAAGTAATTTTTCTTTAAAATTTGACTCAATTAAAGATTATGATTTTATTATTAAAATTGATGAAAGTAATGCTTAATATAAAAATCTTGGCCACATCTTTATACAAGATATATTTAATATAACAACTCTTTGTGATATTACATTATTAATGTATTTCAATTAGGTTTATAAAATAATTGAATAATTTTCCACATGATAAAAATCACCTCATTTTTTTTTTTTGCATTTTATATTATGATGAATAATTTTTAAATTGAGTTTAAGAAATATGCTTTTCTGTAAAAAAAAATTAAACACTACTATTTAAAAATAAGTTATTTATCACCACATCATATTAATAATAAGATAATTTGATAAAATTGCAAAATTTTATTAAATATTTATATAAATATTTTACTATAATATTATATATGAATTAAATTTTCTTAAATTTCCCTTAAATTAGTAAAAAAAAATATATTAAAAGAAGTCGTCTTGCGGATTCCAAATACTTGATGCTATGGTTGACGGAGACACAAGTGGGGGAAGAGTGGAAGACTCAGAAAGTAACATGCAAATGCAAGGGCTTCCCGGAAGATGTGGTAATGTCAAATGTGATATCACTGGGCTTGACTTTGCACTGTATTTATTAAGCTTTTACTTTTATTCATAAATTATTCAATAATAAAAGTATAAATTTATTCTTATTATTTGAAATTTGCGTTAAACTTCCTATAAAAACATTGAATATATAAATAAATAAATATTATCTTTGAATATATATAAATTATATTTAAAATTAGTATACATAAATATTTTAAATATATAAATTATATTTTAAATTTATGATAAATAATTTATACTATAAAAAATATTTATTGATAATTTATTTTAAATATTAATATTTAATTCATAATAATTATGATGACTAAAAATTAAATTAGAAAATAAGTTAAAAAAATCTCTACAAACTTTTTCGTTGTAGAAAAACTTGTAAAAATATTCCTGATTAAGATAAAGACTCATGTTTAATATATAATAGTTAATTTTAAATTATTAAAAATAATTAAACTAAACATATTTTTAATATCTTATTTTAAAAAATTAGAAAATGAAAAATCAAACAAAAGGTGTGGATGTAGTTACTATTCCTTGTCAACTTTGATACATGGACTCTACGACAAGTGGCAATGCGTGTAATATTAAACATTTTCCGCGTCAACTCAAGTCAATGCATTTTGCTTTTGCACAAGTCTGCATGCTCGGTAATTTCCTCTTTTCCCTATGGGCACAAGTTGTGACGCATAGCGAACGAAATAGGAATTTACTCCGTATTATTATTGATAATAAATTCTCGGTAATATATTTTAAAAAATAAGTACCAGGATCTTATTAAGCAGAAATAATTGTAGAAGATGTCAAAATACTTGCCGTCGATTTTGTCCAAAATATTTGCCAAGACACAACACATGCATGAGTTTAGTTGTGTTAATAGCAGGATAGCCATGGTATACATTTTATAATAAGAATACACATTACGGTAAACTGTGTCAATTTCAACAACCAGCTTACGTGTGATACAAGACTTTGTATTTTGGTTAAAGAATTGGCTTTGTTTAGTCTGAATTGGTAATTATGTTTATGAATATCTCTTCTATGATCAAAATCTAGCGAGAATATTGCTTATTAATCGAAACTTTATTAACTGATTTATTTAATATTTTGTTTGATGTTGTTTGTCATGTGATGCACTTTGTCCTGTGAGCATTCAAACATCAATATAATGTTTTAAAACAATGTGTTGTTCAGACTATTGGACCAAAACACTAAAAAAGTTGTTCCAAATAAACTGATCGTGTGGTTGCTTGTTAACAAATTAAAAAAATCTATTTCTAGCTTTTATAACCATTATATGTAAATCCAACAACTAATATAATAGCCATAACATATACTTCAAGACTAGCTGAAGGTCATAATATCGCAGGTTTCTGTCTCAGTTTAAACAGAGAGGATGCGTGGTATATTTAAACAAGAAATTGCTAGAACAAATTACATGACTTCTAAGTCTCTGTATTCTGGTTTAAGACCGGAAGCATTTGATGATGATGAATGAATCTCACTCCCGTGAACAAAATCTAGCGAGGGTATAGCTCAGTAATTGAAGCTTCATTTTCTGATTCTTGAGCTGATTTAAGTATCGGTTCACTTGATCCAGTTTCTCTTGAATTATACTCCCATGATTGCATCTCTGGAAGACTTCTAGTTCTACTGTTTGTATAAAATGCAGGTTCTGTAGGAATTGGGAGGCTGAGAGAATAGCTATTAAGCATGAGCATAATGGTAGCCATGGTTGGTCTGTCAGATGAATTTTCTTGAATACAGAGTAAACCAATATGAATGCATCTCATCATTTCATTTCGGGAATTGTTGTTTAACAATGGATCTACAATATTTGTTGCTGTCCCCTCCTTCCAATTTCTCCATGCCTGCAAAAACTTGTCATTAGATGACGGATTCCACTTCTACATTAATGTTTTGGAGCAAGCAATCCTCTAATCCATACTTGTAAATGGCAAAGAATAAATAATAGTGAAAACGGGGAGACTTACGAAGCATAGTAGATCCTCAACACTCTCCCCATCACGAATGCCACTGTTCTTCTGACCGCTTACAATCTCAAGAACTAGTACACCAAAACTGAAGACATCTGATTTTACAGAAAATTGTCCATGCATCGCATACTCTGGTGCCATATATCCACTTCATGCCAATATATATAGATAGATAATAAGTTATAGATGTCATGACTGTTTCGGTTGCTAATACCAATGATATTCATAACAAAGATTTAATTTTAAATCCCTATTACAATAATGTAGTTTAGATATCACTCGGTCATACAAAGCTTAACGATCATAAAAGCTACTTAAAAGTCTTAATTAACAATCAATAACATATTGCATATTCTAATAATATTCACCAAAAAAATGCCCACATTTTAATACTTACTAGGTTCCGACAATTCTATTTGTATTTACTTGAGTTTGATCCACTAAAACTAGTTTTGCCATGCCAAAATCTGCTATTTTAGGATTCATTTCTTCGTCTAGAAGAATGTTACTTGTTTTGAGATCACGATGTATAATACGTAGTCGAGAATCTTCGTGAAGGTAAAGAAGTCCTCGAACAATACCTCTAATGATTTGGTAACGCCTTTCCCAATCAAATTGTGCTTTCATGGTTGGATCTGCGTATGCAACCATCAGTTTTAACGCAAAATGAATAATTAGGTTTGTCTTGAACTAGAACTATTGTCTAATTATGCAGTCATTTACCCGTACCAAATATGAAAAAATCAAGACTTTTATTAGGAACAAATTCATAGACAAGTAGCCTCTCTCTTCCTTCCAAGCAGAAACCAAGTAGTCTAACTAAATTTCGGTGCTGAAGCTTGGCCACTAAAAGCACTTCATTCTTAAATTCCGTATCTCCTTGGCGCGAATCTCTTGACAATCTTTTGACTGCAATCATCTGCCCGTTGGAGAGCTTACCCTGAAAATATATCTATGTCAAGTTAATATTTAGCTAATCGGTGCTAATGGTATATAATGTTTTTTTGATGAAGACGTGATGTGTATCTGTAATCTGAATTCTACAGGGATACATACCCGGTAAACAGCTCCAAATCCACCTTGTCCAAGTTTATTAGAATCAGAGAAGTCTTCTGTAGCAACTCGTATTGTGTCCAAGTTGAATTGTAATGACTCAGCAATTTTAATTTCATCCTCATCTTCATCTTCTTTGCCTTCACCTAGGGACAAATTTTAACTAGTGAGTATTTCAGATGTGTGACAGCCAAGATAGAAAATTGGGAGATATAATTTCTGAAACCAGAGCACAAAGGGTATATAACTCGCTATTTTTACATTCTTAGCAGTGACTTACTCATGCTTATAATTATTAAAAATATTTCATATTTTGTGTGTTTAAAAGATTGTATGTAGTTCAATTATTATTTCATAGGGAAGAATTAGTCTTATTAATTATGACAGAACATGTATGCCTTTCTACAGAGATTTTTCTCTATATTTATTTATATTCCGTTGTAACAATGTAGGAGTAAATTGAAAATAAAAACGTCAGAGTAAGTTGATACTTAGACATGCCTGCAAGATTTTTCATTGCCTTCCACCTCCTTGAATATAAGCAGAGAGAAAGGAGCAAAACAACAACAACAGTAGGCACAATTACAGCAATGACAATCGGTACTTTGTTGTCACTCTCTGCAAAAACAAGAATTTTGTAGGATTAAGGATAATAATAAAAAAAAATCCTAATAACTAAGTCGAAGGATGATTTCAGTTTGTGTGGGTTAGCTGTAAATAGGCAAATTAATTAAGTAATATAATGAAAAGTACCTCCTGAGGAAGTGCTATTGGTGGATGGAGGAGGCGGTGTTGAATGTTGTTCATCAGATTCGTAGAATCTGTGAGTTTCATATCTAATATTACAACTGAGTGTAATAACTGTAGCACCTACTTTGTCATTACAGCAATATGGGATCCGTGAAATAAGTCCTTCCAAGCAGTCAGTGCATTGTTGCTGAGACAAATCAGGGGTGCACTGCACTAGACCGTAAATGTTTTGAAAATATGAAAAAGTTGCATTATCCGCAGCGTACTTACGACGAGAGTCACCTGCTGCCGCTGTGTCTTTGAGGTTCTTCAATAAGTTTCCGAGAATTTGATTGAACTCATCCACTTGTGTTGCGCTGTTTTCGTTATACAGGATAATAGGTGGATCATCTTGCTCGATGCCAAATATTGTGCGGTTCGAGTAGCGCAACATGCATTTATCAAACCACTCAATTGCCTCCTTTTGGTTTGGACAGCGCTGTTTGAGATCGACCCTGGAATTATTGAGGCAACTGCGGCATTCCTCCGGCTTAACATCTCCTCTGCAGTGTCCAATGGCGTAGACTTTGTCTGTGTTTTGGCCATAGGAGAAGTTGTAGAAACCGTAGTCAATTTGTGTGTTAGAAGAAAGAGAGGTTAAAAGGGTGTTCAGATTCGACTCATATGTGCTATTAGCTGTGTAGTTCCCTCTGCTGTTATCACAGACAAAGCTGACTGGCTGGGCACTGGCTTCAGATATGAATTTTAGAAATACAAAACAAAGAATCATGCAATAAACGCCACCCATCTTTATCAGAATAACAACATTGAAACTCTTGCTTAGGTAGCTATGTTCGTCAAGGGCAAACTGGTGCTAGCTGCTGTCACTTTATAACCAAATTTTTCCTTCAATCACGGCTTTTTGACCGTAATAAATAAAAATAAAATAAAAATTACTGAAATAAATTAAAAAAAAAACTATTTACCAAAATAAATTATTTTTGACACGTAGGAAAGAGATAAGTAAGAAGAAAACGTCAGGAAGAGCGATGTTTAGTATGTATAACACAACTCGTCAACTAATTTGACGCCATGCATGAAAAAAATACGAAATGTAAATAGTCAAAGAAAATTGACGTTTTGTACTATCATAATGCATAAAGTATAAAAGTAATAAAAAATAATAAAAATAAAAAGAACTCTATACCAAAATACATGCATGTCACGAATCAAAAGTAATAAAAATAATAAAAGTGACAAAATTGACCAAATTGACCATTACAAAACGTCACAAAAGATGACGTTTTTAGTGTGCATGCAAATTTACGCAACATAAAAAACGCCATGCGCCATGACGTCTTATAAAAAATGCCATGCAAGAAAAAAAAATAAAATTTTTTTTAAAAAACGTCATGCATTATGACGTTTTTAGTTACAATTTTGCAAACAAAAACACGTTCCATATCATGACGTTTTCTACCATTCCTTATTTTATTATTTTTACCAAAATGTATAAAAAATGTTACAAATTCTAAATCAATATTTTCAATTAAAATAGTTAATACTATACGTAAATTTGCAATCCAATAAAATTTGCGTGAAAAAGAATTAACATATTATTATTTTAAAAATGTAGCTTTTAAAATATGATTATAAACCAACCAACCAAACCATTACCTATCAGGCAAGAATAAAAAATATTTTAATATAATTTTTAAAATATAATTATAAAATAAATATTATATACGCAGTTTATTATCCAATTATTGTGCTTCTAACACACAATGGTCCATGGTACACAAATCGTCAATGATTTTGATGTTTTTACTTATTTTTATCTCTATAAAGAATAACGTCAATTATTATGACGTTTTTTCTATTTTCTCTCTCTTATACGTAAAACGTAAGATATTATAGTGTTTTCTTCATTTTCTCTTTCCTACATGTCCAAAATAATTTATTTCGGTAAATAATTTTTTAAAAAAATTATTTCAGTAATTTTTATTTTATTTTTATTTATTCTGGCCAAAAATACTATTTATTTCTAATTTTGATTTTTTCTTTCCTACAAACTCTATTTTTCTTACCTAACATTACATCATTGATAACGTGTTTAGTTTTGATTTTAATAACTCTCTGCTATGAATTACAATACAACTACTTTTTAAGTATATATGTACTAAATAAATGCTTATTTTATATAATCAAAATTTATATATAAATAAATATTTTTAAATATTCAGTTTTTTATTTAAGAAATATACATAATTACTCTTTTTTTTTTTCCTTCTAATTATAAGAAACATAAAACTATTTTAATGTGCCTAAAAAAAATTATACTTTATCTATTTTCAAATTTATTAGTAAGACATATGTATTTATCCTTCTCCTAGGTAGATGCATTTATTATTCTATTAATTATACAATTTATTGATGAAAAACAATATTTCTCGAATTAAGTGTAGTTTTGTTGAATATAATCTGTGTTTAAACCATTCAAATGCAACGAGTACTTTGAAATAAATTTTAAATTTATATGACATTATTAATGAAATTAATTACCTTGACTGTTTTTATCAGTTTTTTTTTATGAATAAATTATTTATTTTCTATATAAAAGATTGGATTTTGTGCCATTTTAAGTAATTTTTATTACCGAAATTGTTTTTGATTTTTTATCTCTTAAAAGATTTATTTTATTTATTTAATTTTTAAATTTAAGCTAATATTTCCCTTTGAAATAGTTAGAATTTTCAATTTTAAAACGCAATTACTCGTTTTGTATTGATTCAAATGTGAAATTTATGGGTTTATTTATACAAAAATAATAAAATTCAACTAATGTTAAAAAAATACTATAATACAGTGAAAATTATGTGAAAATTGAATCTTTTGACAATTGAAAATTGAAATAATTTAACATAAGATTCTTTATCATTGTCGGACTTACTTTTAACCAATGTTTATTATGTTTATGACAAATTTTTTTATTTGAACATTAATTGTAACATATATTTTTTATATCTCGTGTTTCCAAGTATAAAATCAGGTATGTTGTTTCAAATTGAAAAAGAAAGGAGGCTGTGAATTGTTGTTTTTGTTGCCTAACAGCCAATAATATCAAATCTTAAAAACAAATGTATGAGCACAATTATTTATTCGTGTCCATTAAGCATAGCAAATATCTCATTTTTAATTTACAACACTCATGTGATATGTCATATGTAATCACATGCTGTCTGATTCGATGTAAGCCCGCAAGGAATGGAAAAGAAAAACTTGTATAACACAAGTAGAAGTTTCTAAATTTAGCCTCTGGAAGCTGACAAGCTTTACTTGTTAGTTGTTTTTTAACACACAGCAGAGGCTGCATGTGAATGCGTTGGTTTACATAAACAATTTTGTTTTGTCCGCAAATATTTTCTTACCATTTAAAATGTAATACAATATGTGTTATCGGTAATAGTTGATCTTAAAATATAAAACCAGAGACAATGACAGATCTTGTCTAACTGTAGATCTGAAGAGAACGTGACATGCATAAACAATTTTAATAAATATATATATCTTCTTCCACCTCTTACAACTTTGGGCATTTGGTCTAGTGGTATGATTCTCGCTTAGGGTGCGAGAGGTCCCCAATTCTCGGAATGCCCCTATATTTTTTGAATTGTTGTCCATAATGCCTGGCACAGTGTCACCCAAAAGTATCATATTCTTAAAAAACAAATGGATTCCAAACGGACCAAACCCCTGCACTTCTGATACAACATTAGAAGTACTAGTATTGTTTCAGCTTGTGGTCAAAAAGAGAATGCTATCAATTTACTGATGTCATGTGATAAAAGTCAGATAGAAGCAAAGTTTTAACATCAGAGTCCTTCCTAAAGTAATTTCACCAAATCAATTTATTAGTTTTTAATAAATTAGAAGACAACAAAATTTGCATAGTTAGGCTTTAGGTCTTGTGGTACGATTCTCATTTAGGGTGTGAGTGGTCCCAAGTTTATTCTTGAAATGCCCTATATTTTGTTGATTTGGTAGCTTGCAAGCTTGACTTGACTTGGTATTTGTTGTACTTAAATACCAACTGGCATCTGGTATTATTTCTAACTTTTTGCCTTTTGAATCTCTGGAAGCTGTCAAACTTGTTAATTTGTTTAGTTGAAAAAAATAATAAGTATCAGAGTCTCTTTGCCAAACCTTTTTATACAAAACAACCCTCTAATTTGACCTTAAAAAAAATCCTCTAATTTTATTTGTTACCCATTTTTTCTTCCTCTACCCAATTACTTTGCTATTTCTTTTATGCCAAATAGGTTGTCAATGTGATTGTGAATGCTTGGGGATGAATGATATGGTAGATTAATAGTTATTGCAGGAAGATTTTCAGTACTAAATGAGAGCCTGCCACTGAAAATGTAATATAATAATGTGTTGTAAGTCATAGTTGATCTTAAAATATAAGAACAATTTTTCGCGGACACCAAGTGCTAGACTATACCATGAGAGAGAAAGACATGAGGGAAAAGTGATAATATTTGAGTGTTTATACTTTATAATATTTGAGTGTTAAACAAGTGTGTATACTTTATTTGAGTGTCCATTTATCATTGTTGAAAATATAAAACCAGAGAGATAAATAAGTAAACTCTCTTTGATATCTTGACTAGAAAAAACAAGTTAGGTTGACTGACAATTCCCTATCCAATTAGCTAAATCTGTATGCAATCTCTCTATAGAACTACAGACAATGCGGCATGCATAAACAATTTTAATAGCCCAATAGATATAGATTTAGTTCAGTTCCCAACATTTCAACGTGGGCATTTGGTCTAGTGGTATGATTCTCGCTTTGGGTGCGAGAGGTCCCGAGTTCGATTCTCGGAATGCCCCTACTTTTGCATATTTTTATCTATGCCGATGGGGATGAAAATCTATATCCGACGGGTATGGGGACTGAGACGAGGATGGGTTAAACTCGCGGGGACGGGGACGGGTATCATGAAACCCATACCAAATCCGCCTCGTTGCCATCCCTACCCCCAAC